GGAATATTCCACTCCCCCTTTAGGTGAAAGCGGAATATTCCACTTGTGTCCATGAAATCTTATCAACTCCCTGATGAAGGCTTGTATGTAAAACAGGTTTTCTGTTGCTGGACAAACAAAAGCAGACCATGAGAAAAAAGAGGGACCTTTTTAAAAACAAGACAAAACACATCTTTGAATCCCGTTTTGCTCTCCAGTTTCTTTAGCTGAATGACTGCTGTTTGAATGTCCACTCAACACACAAGTTAACGGCTGACAAGCAAGAGTCCTTCATCAATATCAGCTGGACGTCTTCTCTGGACTTTTATCTTTTATTCTCTGACTGCTTAAAAACAATCTCGCATGCAGGAAGAGGAAGAAAAGGTGGACTGTGAGACGAGATTGTGATCATGACCTCTCATCCTTCTGTACTTTGACAAATATACACCAGAGGCTCATACTGGTGACATCAGAAAGGTTGTGAGAGTACAGACCTGAACAAATAACACATTATGAAACAGGGATATAGATAAATGTCATCAAAATCATTTTATATTCTATACATGGGTGTCCATGTGTATTTTGTGTATGTGAAGTGGATGTTGTGTGTCTGTATGATGACAACCACTTCAGAACCAATTCAGCTGTAAATCACATGTTGTATTAAGAAAGTAAGTAAAGTTTTTAACTGCTTTTTAAAGGATTCCACAGAGTCAACCAAACGTGGTTGTGGAGGTAGACTGCTCCACAGACGGAAAGGCTCCGCCCCCTTTCGTCTTCAGACGTATTCTGGGAGCAACCAACAAACTCTGAGCCTGTGAGCGGAGACGGCGAGCAGTAGAGTATTTTGTGAGAAGCTTGGATAAATAATCTGGGGCCTTTTAGTGCTCTGTACGTTAAAACAATGAGTTTAAAACGAATTCTAAAATCTATTGTGGGCCAACGTAAAGAACATAAAATAGGAGTGATGTGAGCTCGCTTGCTAGAGCGAGTTAGTAGTCTGGCTGCTGTGTTTTGTACAGAGATGATTTATCCAAGCTGGTAAACAGGGAATTACAATAATCTAAACGCGATGACACAAATGCATGGACAATTTTTGCGACACTATGTCGCAGTTTAGAAATATTCCTTAAATGAAAGAAACAGGAACGAGACAGAGATTTTACGTGTGAGTCAAGGCCCAGAGAAGAGTCAAATATTACTCCAAGATTTCGAATATTTGGCTCAGCAGGAGAACAGAAAGGGGCAAGAACCTGACTGGTTTTAGAATATAGATCAGGAGGAGCTATGATGAGCTATGAATTTTAGCCGTGGAACTGCAGCCATTTTTGGCCGGGGCAACTTTGCTGTCACAGAAATGTTTTCCAGGATCAACTTTTTATTAACTTTATCCAGGAAAAAGGACAAAAAGTACTAATACATAAATACAAAAATACCCCAACAATAAACTCTGCATTTAAAATTCTACCCAAGATAATGTGTGAGGTGTCTGCAAAATTACAGAAGTAAAAGCAACTGGCATACTGATGATTTAACAAACACGGCATTTAACCAGCAACCCCCTTTAAACCTCAGGAGACATGCGATGATTAATAATGCTGGAAATGAGAAAAAACAAACTCCTACCACACAAATTGTGATTTTCTTTGGCTTTTTGTAAATTATTATTCTGTCTCTCAATTTAAAGGTTTCAGCTTCTTAAATTTAAAATTAATTCCTGAGAATTTGAGAGATGAAAATCCTCTTTGGTGGCCGTGCCAGTAGTGACCAGTGACAGCTGTTTCCCCGTGTGGGACTACTTGCCAAAAACAAATGTAATGCATTTTATTAGCTCAATTTATGGCTTGTCAGCTTAAGTGAAAGCAGAATTAAAGAGCAGCAGGATACTGAGAGCCTGAAATGTACTTTCCCCAAGTAGAGGTAAAAAAAGCTTAACATTACTTCCAAGTATTTCTCCACATGATTCTCCTTAAATGAGAGCTTTTGAAAACTGCGAGAGGAAAACAGGTCCATCAGTCCTGACCCGGAGGAAGGTGACGCTGACATTGCTGTTGTTTTGTTCTTAATTTCATGAATTTCCACAGCATTCCTGAAAGTTTCTCCAGGTGTTGCTATTGCAAAAGACCATTTGGAGAGCTACAGTTTTAAAAACAACACTATCAGCAGAACGTGCTTGATCTGGTGTTGTTGCTGTACACACCAAATGACGCATGCTGATGTCTGATAATCTCACAGTGGATCAGACTCTACCTCGCACCATTTCTGTTTTTGACTCCCCCCCTCCTCCCAATGCCTGTAGCCAAACTTGTCCTGTTTAAAAACCATAGACAGTCTTACTCAGTACTAATACTAAAAAAAACACATTACTGCAATACTATTCCTGCTCTCTGAGGGCAAAAAAAGCAAGAAATAAATATTGCTGTGGTCCGCATTTCAGGGGCATTGAGGTTAACCTCCTGTCTGCACAGTCCCAGTAAGCCCCCAAGTAAATCTAGGCCACATTCAAATATGAAACAGCTACTGTGGATTTTTAGAGCTTAATGTCTTCGATACTGTGCTGCTGATGTTTTCAAAGTAGCAATACGATTTGAATAAATAATGCCATGCCGCTTTAAAAAAACTGAGTAAGATCGCACCCTTGAGCATAAACAACTCCTCTTTAGATTTCTCATGGCAAAGACTGCCATGCACCTGCCTGCACACTCATGCCACAGTAGTCCTAATTTATTAAGGCAAAAGTCAATTTCCTGCAAATGAATGCAGCTGTTTATAAGTGGAGAATTAAAAACACCAGAGAAGCAGAAATTAGCTTCATGAACAGCCCCCCCCCCCAGCAGGCACAGAGTAGCCAAACAGGAAACTCAACACAGATTGAAAACGATACGTTCCACCATTGTTGCTAGCATGCACCAGCATGTTTGAAGCATGTTTGTTCTGAAGGAATTTACAATCCACAAAACAGCTTTGCACGTATGCACCTGTTAGTGTAGACAAATGACACAACACACAAATACACAATAAATGAATAAAAATAATTCAATATGTGAGCAAAAGCATCAGACATGCTAAAAATAAAATACATCTTTATTATGGTATTAATTCTTCACTTAAAAAAAACAATAATTACAGTAATAATCAGCAATAGATGATGTGCATACAGCATGTTTGACTCTTACATGAGGAAACGTGAGTAACAAGGAGAACAAATACATATTCAGTGGCGTTTGCCTGAACGTGACTGAAAAAGGAGAACAAATAGCAGCAGATAAAAGGTCCTTCGTAGCACTAAAAATGCAGTTAAACATGAATGATGTCATGTGAAGTGAGAAAAAGAGGGCATGACAATATTAAACTGCTCGGTACTAATTTTGATGCAACACATTATCACAGTCTACAGTCTGAATATCATTATCGACGTCATAGTCAGTCGTCTTTGTCCAGAGGGGCTGAACAGCAGAGTGAGTGTGTAACAGCACAGAAATACAGAGAACGTGTGTTTAGCAAAGAAAAACAAGACATGCACTAAAAGCACGTCTTAAAATGCAGTCGGCCCTGATATTTGGCTGGATCATACTTCTGTAGCAAACACACTAGTACAAAAATAGATTTACTTTAATTTTACATTAGCGTTGACTCTCTGTCTACACTGTTAGTGTGGAAAAACCACGCTTTCCCCACGAAACTCTACAACCAACTACAGACACTCACTTCCAGTTGAATGTTTGACCCACCAGCTCAAAGAACTTCTTGTTGGGTTCATGAAAGAACTGGTAGAGTTTTTGCAGGATGGCAGGAGCCACGTGAGGGTGAGCCCTGCCTTTCGAATCGTGTAAACACCGCTCTCGCCCGTGGTCTCTCAAACAGTAGAATCCTTTCGTTTTATTGAAGTAAAAATTTGAAGCGTTTATTTGAGGCTCCAGCTTTAAGAACCTCTCCACCTTTTTCATCTCAGGTAAGGGGTCTCTGATTAATTCATCCCCATCCACGATATGAATGCTCTCCAGTGGGAAGTATTGCAGCCAGTTTTGCATGTGGACATAGTAAAGGCTGCGATTGAGAGCCTTGTATCCCAGATTGATCTCACCGTCCTTCACCAGCACAGACTCGATGGGCTGGTAGCGCTTGTGTTTCTGGAGACGGTTGTAAAAGACCTGGGTGTAGTCCGAGAGCACCCGCTCTGTGGGGTCTCTGAGGATAAGCAGCAGCTTGATGTCAGGGTTCATCTGATGGATGCGTTTAGGGACTTTGCTGGAGGTGAAGTAGGCCGGCGTCTTCTCCACCGTCAGCTGGTCGGGGAAAGCGTACGGCATCTGGCTGAGATACCAAGGCAAGCCCCTCTGAAAGTGACTTTCCCAATCAAAGAAGTGCACCTCGTTCTGCGCTGCAGCCACCGAGCTGTGCAGGCTGAGCATCTCGATCAGCGCCCGTGTTCCTCCCTTCCTCACGCCAATAATTAGAATATGAGGAAGTTGCTGGAGTGTCCCATTTGGATGGCTGGTGGTCCCGTTGTCAGCGGGTGATGAGGTTGGAGGTAAAGGTGGCCCGGCGTCGCCGTCGGCCACTGGCCTGGAGGGGATTGGCGGGGACTGCATTGCAAAAAGCAGCAGCCCAAGGAGCAAAGCTGCCATGAGTGAGGTCCTGACCCTGGAGGATTTCAGCCTGGCGAAAGCACTAAAACTGTATCCCACATTGAAAGAGCAGCTGCTTGTGGACAACGGTCTGATTGATAAGCAAGAAGAAGAAAAACAGCCTCTTCTCTGCCAGCAGCAGCAACTACAGGGAAAGACAACAGCTGTGAGCAGACCAATAACAGGAGACTATTCTGGCAGAAAGACAAATATTAAGTTTACAACTCCAAATCCTAGAAGGAAGTTAAACTAGCAAACGATGCTTCCTTTAACATGATCAGTGTCCTTAAACTTTCTGCCGTTTAACAAACACGAACCACCGTCAAACAGGAACTGCCCCTATAATAAACATGCTGTCATTAACCGTGCTAATGATTTATGTACAGTGACGGCATCAAAAGACGAAACGTCGATCACCTGGTTTTATTCTCTGCAAC